TATAAAAAATAAATAAATAAATAAATAAAATAAAATAAAAGCCCAGGAAACTGGCTGAAAGTCCATTTAAGAAGTAATGAGACCCCCAGACCCCCTCTCTGCAGAGGACCCATCTGCCTCCATCCCTGCAGGAGACTCGGGGTTTCCTTCCCAAAGAAATAGACCAGAGGCTGCAGACTCGGGGAACACTGAGCACAGCTGGAGAGTGGGAGGGCGGGGCAAGGCTGGAAAGAGGGGTGAGGGGAGTCAGCCCAGCCCACTCCTGCCTTTGCAACTATGCTAATCCCCCAAGCAAGGAATCAGAGTCCTTCTCCTGGGAAACTGAAGAAGAGAAGATGAAGGGACGGCAGAATCTGGAGGTCAGCCCACTGAACAGCCAGCCTGCCACAGCCCAGCACTCGACTAGCACCAAACAGCTTTCCAGTGGCTCAGGTTTACATTCAATAGGACAGCCGAGTGTCCCCAAACACTTGACAGCCTCCATCACAAAAAGCAGACACCAAAGCGAATAAACTTTGAGATGAAGAAGAAACAGAGAAAATGTAAAAACCGAAGAAAATGCAACCATCCATGAACCAAAAATAGGATGCTACTTCCAGGGGGGAAAAAAGCACAGAGAGCAAAGAGCTCTTAGAAATTAAAACTATGCTGAAAATCTAAAACTCAATAGATGGGTTGGAAGATAAAAGGAAATCTCTCAGACAAAAAGTAGACAATAGGAATTAAAATACAAAAACCAAGGTGTCAAGTTCAATTACTAAGGGCGCCAGAAAGAGAGAATGTGCATGTGGGGGGCATGGGGGAGGCTGTCACAGAGAGAGAGTTCAGGAAAATGTCCCAGACCCAAGGACACAAGGTCCCTCTACTCAGCACCAAAGACTCAGAGAAAAGAGAAGCTTCTAAAAGTGGGGAAAACATGGAAGACTGGAAAACAGAGCGACACCGACCTTCTCAAAGGCAACCCTGCTACCGGAACACACCCACCGCACACCTCCCCGACGCTGGGAAAGTGATATGCCACCAGGAATTGCAGATGTGAGCAGACCGCACATCAAGTATGAGACCAAAATAAAGTCATTTTTAGGTTTGCAAAGTCTCAACAAAATGTACTTCTCATGCACATTGTCTCTGGAAGTTTTCAAAAGGGGAGTAAAGCCAAGAAGGTAGAAGATGTGGGGTCCAGGAGACAGGAGTCCTCAAGAGGATGTCAAAGGAAAGTCCAAGAACACGCCTGGTGCCCTGCACCCAGCCCAGGAGTCTGAGAGGGTGGAGGGCTCCTGGACACACAGCCCTGACATGCTATCTAACAGGGTGGGCACAGGGGAAGCACTGAGAGGGTGTTGGAGGATACAGGTGGATTTAGCCATCGATACCAGGAACACTTAGCAAAGGGAAAAATGAAACCGTTATTAACTCAGGCAGAAACAAACATTTGAACCAGAAAAGTGCTGGGATCACAGTCCTATACTCACTCAGCAGAAACCAGTGTGTGCTCGGTCCTGATGATGGTAACACTGAAACAGACTGACTGCACTGTGATCTACATGAGTGGGAAGGCACGTGATGAGACACGGCAAGAGACGGGAACAGAGAGCACAGCCCCTCACCAACCACGACAAAAAGCCAGAAAGAGACGTTTTAAGGGGGCAGTCAAGAGAGGGGATTTTTATTTAGAAACATGGAGGAAAATGCAGAAGAATGGCTAAAAGATCTGAGAGAGGCTGCCTGTGGGGAGTGGAAGGGAGCAGGAGGGTGGGGCAGGAATCGCTGGTACCCGTCACAAGCCTGTCCACACCCGGACACTCCGAGCTCTGACACACAGCAACTTCATAAGACAATGAAAAATAATCGCACGGAGAAAAACAGAGGCAAAACACCTTATCAGAGGCCAAACAACAGTCAAAACCTAAAATATATAAATAACTGTTGTACAAACAAGACTCTCCTGGGAAAGGGGAGGGGGTGGAGGGGTAGAGGAGAGGAAGCCAATGAAATCTCAGACCCCTGGTTCTTTCTCTTTTTCTCCAAAAACTGTCTTTCAGTGGGTTTGTACTAGAAGCATAATTAAAGGCTTTTCAGCAGAGATGCCCTAGGAAGAGAGTCGAAATCCTGCCTGCTTCTGATGGGCAGTGGGTCAGAATGTGCCCACAGCAGCCAATTCTCCTCTGGGGGAGCGAGCTGCGCTAAAATCGCCCCCGTGTGCGCCCACGACCCAGCGAGATACCGGGCAGGGATCCGCCCGAGGGGCAGGACAGGGACAGCACGGGAGTAAGCGTGACGAGGGCTCATCCAGGACTGCCACCATGCTGCCACCACCACCGAGATTCACCGGGAGTTAACACTGACGGCCACAGTGACAACGTGAGCCCTGACAGTCACCAATTTTCCTGACAAAACCAACCCTGATAGTTTCTGACACAAAAACAGAAATGGTCCCTGCTAAGTTACTCACCCTAATTATCTGAAGCACAGCAAGAACCCAAACTTTGGCCAAAAAAGAAGGAAAAAAGAGCCCAGAACAGCTCAAATAGCTATGATAGAATCAGATATATAAGGTATATCCCCGCCCAGGGCCCTCAATCAAATCTCTGTACTCTTCTATTAGAGCCCTGAGCACCTTCCCAGCCCTCTACCTGGAAGCAATAAACCACAGGGGGACGTGATGGGGAGGGGACAAGCGCAGGGGCTGCCAGGGCCACCGGGACCAGAGTAGAGGCAGCCCACAGGCAGCCAGCAAGGAGTCAGGTCCCAGCCCACCCGATGGAGCGGGGAGCCAGGTGCGTGTTCCGTGTGAGAAGGTGTTCCACTGAACTATCCCAGCTGCTATTTACACTGGTGATCTTGTCTGCAGGAACATTCGCTGATGTAGAAAGCTTCCTTCCGAGAAAACAGGACGAATGAACTATATAAGTAAGGCACTGACTTTAAAATGTGCTCCTCTAAAAACAGCTCACTTTGATACCAGGAAATGCTCTGTGAACCAGATGCTGCTTCATGTTCACAGACCCTGTAAATGGAAAACTATAGGGAGAGGGGTCGGGCGGGGTGGAGGGACAGTGTGGGTGGGGTCTAGCTCTGTCGCTTCTGCCCGAGAAGCTGCCTCCTGTGCTCTGGGAGCTGGTGTTCCCCGGGAGGCGGTGGGCAGAGGAGGGTGGAGAGGGAAAGGGGGAGCCCCCTCTCAGGTTTCTCATCAGGGTGTGAGGGCGATAGGAAGCACCCTGGATACCCCGAGGACCAGCCCGAAGTCGTGCTCTGGCTCCCGTGATGCACAGCAGAAAGGCCCTGGAGAGCTTCTCGGCGCGCACAGGCCCGAGCCTGGCTGACATGCTCCCATGAGAGGTGTGGGGGGGCCTTGGCATGGGCCGGAAGACCTGCCTGGTGGCTCTGCTGTGACCCTCCGAGGCCGGGAAGAGTGTGTCTACACAGCCTCGAATCCCTTGATGCAGAGACAACCACACACTCCAACATTAAACTGGACAACAGTGGTTCCTGGGGGAGGGGTCACGGTGACTGTTCCTGCTTCTTTAGACTTTTCTGAACTTCGCAACTTTTTTATAATGAGGGAGATGAGGAGTAAAAAAGAAACAAAACACTGACATTCAGATGAACTGGAGATTGCTACATGAAAGGGAGTCCAAGACAATGATCTTCACACAGAAGGAATAGCCCAAGCCTGGTTCAACCTCGGCACCCACCTCCCCCACCATAACCCTTCCGTAAGAATGGCACACGCACCTGGGAGTTCTGGATCCTGATTGTCCCAGGTGACAATGCCTGCGTCACTACTTGGCCTTGGGGAGTGACGACTGTGACAGGCTGATAAACTGTGCCACCTCAAAAAGGAAGGGAAAAAATAAACTACTTTTAAGTCTCAACAATTTAAAACCATTCTTCTCAATATACTTAGGGAAGGAGGGCTGGCCCCGTGGCTTAGCGGTTAAGTGAGGGCGCTCCGCTGCTGGCGGCCCGGGTTCGGATCCCGGGCGCGCACCGACACACTGCTTCTCCGGCCACGCTGAGGCCATGTCCCACATACAGCAACTAGAAGGATGTGCAGCTATGACATACAACTGTCTACTGGGGCTTTGGGGGGAAAATAAATAAATAAATAAAATCTTAGGGAAGGAATAAAATCTCGAGTTTGATGAGCATATTAAATCATTTCAAATGACCAACAATACTTTGCTAGTTGACTTGTTGCTATGAATTACTAAAACCAATTCACCGGACAAGCCGTGCTCGAGCGCCCACGGTGGGCATGGCACAGTGCCACACAGGCGCCCCGTGCTCCTTACGATGCACTGCGCAGGGCACGGTCGGCTTAGGGGTCTGCAATTCTTTCTTTTGCTTGCCTCTGCTTTCTACTTTTCCCCACATTAGCACATACTACAGGACTTGGCCAAAGGTGTTAGATAACAACTATTTCTGTTATGGTTATTTTTTATCAAATGTGCTTTCATCTTCCTGTGGGGGTTTCCCTTTGTGCTATTATGTGGGGTTTTTTAGTGTAAATTTCACCCCTCCTTACATGCCCCATTCCATTTTCAAGAAGGTTTTGTATTTGCAATGTTCTAGATGCACCAGAGAACTCTAGAATCTGTCCCCTTCCTGTAATGGTTTTTATTATATAACTAATACTAAGACTAAGACTGCATTTCTTGTCATCAATTAATGAAACAACTTAGGATTTTCTAGGCGCCGCTAAGAGCACAATTAAAAGCTAAGTTATTTGAAAATTACAATTGGTTTCTGCTATATATTTTCAATTCCCATATAAAACCTTTTCCCCCAATATTTTTTGGTAGGGAAACAATTTGCATAATATATTGTTATTGAGAATTAACAAGAACCAAGCATTCAAAGAGCTCTAGATTTTGGCACTCCTATATCAGCAACTGGCATTAATTAAAAATTATATTTATGCACTTCTTCATTCTAATATAAAGCACTTTTTTCTGCAAAAGCTCAAGGAAAAGGTGTCCGTTTTTCTGTCATCATACCTGCCACTGTTGCCATGGTTACGTTCCCCTGTTGCAGCGCAGACGCTGGCACCACGATTCCTTGGGGGCTGAGAGTGCCTGTGATGGCACTTTGAATCTGCTGTAGATCAGAAATATACAGGGAAGGGATCAGGAGAAAACAGAAAACTCGTGTTTAAAATTTTCGAAACCACTGGCATAATGGTTTTGTTAATAAAGGAAAGATGCTTGAGGGAAGGAGCATCATCAGATGACAAGCCCTCCATAAAGCATGCCTTACATATGTGGAAACCAAGAGATGTAAAATTGAATATGAAATGCAATGATCAATACTGAGATATTAGTTTCAACTGACTTCCAAAAGATTATCTTACAACTCATTGCCATGTTAAACACACCTTAAACCTGGGAGGAGTGACTAGGAAGATCAAAACTGCTGAATCTTATCACACACCTTTTCCATTTGATTTGACTCAGACTTTTGATTTTCTAAGAACCAAAGCCTCCTTGACAGGATGAGCATACTCAGAAAATGATGCCCCCCAGCGTGGGAGGTTCTAAGGGGTGCCGGCGGTCACCCCTGGTGCTGGCACAGCTCTGGACCCGCCCTTCCCACAGCAGAAAGCACATCTGAGCCCCCGGGGTTCACGTGTGTGTAGTGCTGGGCTGGGCCTGGCCTGCAGCAAGCTCCACGAAAATGTCTGTAAACACCACGTCAGAGACACTACTCATCTGAAATTAGATCTACATGGGCTATCTGATCCATTTACTCTGGCGGCTGATTGGCAGTTGGCAAGGGAAGGGATCTCTGCACCTGGCATCTAGCACGGGCTCTGGCACACTCAGGCACCCAGGTATCTGGGCAGTGAAATAGCACAAGTGGATGTCATCCAAGACAAACACTCTGCGGGCTACCACATCCATTTGAATGCATAAGCTTTGGTAGGTACACATAAAGCCTGCCACATTAACTTGGTCAGAAGAAAAGTTAAGCCATCGAAATCAATAATCAAAGCTTCCACGTCAAGGACCTAGAAAAAGAGGAATGAAATGAAACCAAAGCAAGCAGATGGAAGTAAATAACAAAGATCAAAGCAGAAATCAATGAAATTGAAAACAGAAAAACAACAGAGAAACATCAACAAAAAAAGAGCTGGTTCTTTGACAAGATCAATACATTGACAAACTTCCAGTGACACTGATGGAAAAAAGAGGGAAGACAAATTACCAATATCAGGAATGAAAAGGGCAGATCACTACAGACCCTGCAGACATCAAAAGGTGAAAAAGGAAAACTGTGAACAACTTGACACATGTAAACTTGACAACTTAGACAAAATCCAGTATAAAATAGATCATTGGAATAGCCCTATAACTAGTAAGGAAGCCAAACTCATAATTTAAAAACTTCCAAAAACGAAATCTCCGGGTACAGGTAGTGTTACTGGGGAATTCTATCAAACATTTAAAGAATTAACACCAGGTCTACATAATCTCTTCCAGAAAATAGAAGAGGAGGGAACACTCTCCAATTCATTTTACGAAATTTGTATTATCCTGATACCAAACCTAGACAAAGACTGTACCAAAAAAAGTAACTACAGACCAATATCCCTCAATATAGACACAAAAATGCTTAACAAAATATTACTAGCAGGGGCCAGCCCCGTGGCTTAGTGGTTAAGTGCACGCGCTCTGCTACTGGCGGCCTGGGTTCAGATCCCGGGCACGCACCGATGCACCGCTTCTCCAGCCATGCTGAGGCAGCATCCCACATACAGCAACTAGAAGGATGTGCAACTATGACATACAACTATCTACTGGGGCTTTGGGGAGAAAAAGGGAAAAAAAAAGG